CCCCCCCCCCCTCACTACCCCAACACTATTCTTTTCTTTCCTCTGTAATTCCCAGAGAAATATCCCAGGCGATATTTCCAGTCTCGCCTGTATTGAGTCTATATAAAGGGAGATGATGGCGTGGAGGAGCTGACTCTTGTTTGCCAATATGCTGATGTAATTATTATATTGCTCCCGATGGTTCTCTATATGTGCTACACGGCTCCCTGTAACGCAGATATATATCTGTATGCGGTGTTTCCACTGCCAATTGTCTGTGCTCGTCTGTGCATGTTCGCCCGCGATTGTCTTTCCTTATTCACTGGGCGTTCGTTAGTTAGCGAATCCACTGAGCCCGCGCTGGCCTCGATATGTGGCTCCACGTGGTACCCTTTAAATAAGGGAAAATACCCTTTAAGAGGCTAACGGAGGGACTCGCCAATTTTCCGGGGTCGACTGGATTCTAATGGGCGACAATAACCTAATAATGGTCGTAGCACGCACCTCCCTCCTCCCGCCCTTCACCAGCTCATCAATCGAACCTACGAACAGGACGAACAGGACGAACAGGACGAACAGGACGAACAGGACGAGCAAAAGGCTCGAGTGCAGGAGCTCCTTGTGTCTGCGCTAATTTAAAGAATGTTTCTAGCGGGTCGCGCGCGCGATGGCTTCGCCGGGGGTGTCAGAGTCGATATCTCGCAAGGCCTCTGCTGTCACCGAGGGAGGCCACCCTGCTGGCTGTGGAGAGTGGGCTGGGGTTACATTGACGGTAAGAGCGCTATAGCTACAGTCTTCCAAGGGGGTATGATTAGCATTGCACTCTGAGCCCCGATGATCAATAGTGGAAAGGCCTCGCTCTCTCCCGCCTCTTCTCTCTTCGTCCTCATCCATACTCTCATTCTCTCGCTGCGTTCCTCTCACTGCCAGCACGTCTCTCCGCTCCTGCTGCTGCTATCTTTTAAATGGCAACTGCACACATTGCGCTACCGCGAGGATCCTTGGACGGATGCTAAAGACTTGGCCGTCTTAAGGAAAGTGGAAAGAATTCGGCATCTCGTGTGATCTGCTATTTATTATTCTATTAGCGATAGGCTGCTGAGAGAGGGGAGACGCGGGTTACATCGTTACACAGGAGAATGGAGAATGGAGAAAAGGATCGGCCGATACGGAGCCAAGCGGCAAGCAGCAGCTTGTTGACTTTGGCTAAATATTGGATAGCAAGCGCAAATATTCAGTGAAACTATGCGAGGTCCTGGCTGGCTGGTAGCCACCCCCGTCCCTCCCCGTTAGCTACCCGTGCTCCCATCCACCTTCCACCTTCCACCTTCCACCTTCCACCTTCCAGCATCGCTGCTCGAGAGTCTGCGGCTCCCGCCCCTTGTAGGGGGCAGGGGGCAGGGGGATTCGCGAGCAGCGCCGCAGCCTGCTCGGCTTAATTGTAATTGCTCGTAACGCCTTTTTCGGTCCGATTCAACTTTCCGAAGGATTCCTCGGCCTCGCGCCAATCACGGCAAAGCGGAGAAGAAAATTATGTAGAAGAACAAGTGGAGGATCCTTTCGAGTGTGTCGTAATTGTGACCAATAATTATACCGAGACAATTACGGTATCGAGTGCCGAATCGTTTTTCTGTCCTTTGACAATTTCTTTTGTCAAAGGGCTGCTTTCTCTCTCTCGTTTCTCGCTTTCTCCCGGCTCATTTGACAGGGGGTGACCTTCCTTTTTTACGCGCCCATCCTCACCCGCTCATAAAGAATCCCATCCCGGTGCCCTAATGGCTGCTCGGCTACTTGTCCTTATTGCGGACTTAATTACTGGCCGACTTTGTCGAGTTACAATGACCCTCGAGGATTCGCTGAACAAAAAAGTTTATCTGTTTTTCCTGGACGTGCGGACGAGAGGAGAGGAGAGAGAGTCAAGGGAAAATGTCAAGAATCGAGGATGCAGAAAAGGAAGAACAGAGAGAGAGAGAGAGAGAGAGGGAGAGAGAACGATACAAGAGAATCGCTTAATGGAGCTCATCCTTGGTCACTCTTTCTCTAGGCCAGCGCTGGCTCCTACCAGATTGGCAGCCATGTGCAATAAGCGAACGTAGCGCGAAACGACCATAGGGTGGTCGATCCGAATCGAAATGGCTCTGAGGGTGGCAAGCCTAAACAATATCTTGCGGCAATGTAAGGAGCGTCTATTGGGCCATTACCGATGGCGGCTGACCATTTGGCTTGAACCAAGCCGCGTCAGCACTCTCGGCCTCTCCCTGCCTCTCCCTGCCTCTCCCTCCTTCTCTCGTCCTACAGCCCTCCAGCAGTCCTACCGCCACGTCGCTAGACGCACCACTCTGCGTCATCGCTCGCCGCGTTTCCTCCTTCTGGCACCTTGAAGGACCAATCCAGCAGAAACTGGGAAAAGTCTTGCAGAAAATGCTCGATACCGATAGTATCTACCGGAATAACGAATAATCCCAAGTCCCGAAGAATACGTCGCAGAGTAACTCCCCCGCCGTTCGATCATCCGGCAAATCTGTTGTGCCGAGGAGACGGAAGATGGAAAATGGGAAAGGAAAAAGAGACCGCGTGAGGTCAGCCCCTCGGAGCGCAGTGCAAACACGTCCAGACACTAGACGCGCTCGTTTCCCTCGTTTTGGCTGCTTTTCGCTCGTTTTCGCTTCAAGGCTCACCTCCGTTCTGGGCTCCAGTGGGCCAATTCTCACCCCAGCTCAGCCCTTCTCTGCTGTATCTTCCTCCCTCCTTCCGACCATTCCCCTTCAACTTCATCTTACTGCCACTCGGTCCGTTCTCTCTCTCTCTCTCCCTCTCTCTCTCTCTCTCTCTCTCTCTCTTCTCATACTGTCTCTCGGTTAGCGAGCGGGCACGCGAAACATTCTGCGAAATAACGTTAAATATTTACCAATGGGGCGATTGTTCCCGGCGGCACGACGATAAACATCATTATATAATGTATATACAGCGTAGCAGCTATGGATACATGATGATAAATATCACTATTTCCACGTATATCTCTGTAGTAGGTACTTTTCTATACATGCAGACTCGAAGAAGCGATCCGTCTGTCCCAAACCTATCAGTTCCATCAGTTCCATCAGGTCCATCAGCTCTCGACCATCGCGGTGCCGACGAACACGCAGGGCTATGATTATTATTATTAGGTTCCAATTAAATCCAGCATTTGCTCCGAACGGAGGATAACGGCACAAGAATTGAAACCGTTGCGCGATATCCCTCCACCAGTCCCCAAGGATCCTGAACTCGGAGCCCGCAGGACGCAGAGTGGATGACACGCGTCAGGATGGTCCTCGAGACGCCAAAGACAAAGAGCGTGTTCATCAACTATTAATCTGCTCATCGTCGCTGACCCTCGCGCGCGACATTTCTGAATCGCAGCCATCACAAATCGTCTTTGCAGTAGGAGCTTTTCACGAGTGCGGCTGTCGTTTCATTCTCCTCGAATATAGAGTCCTTCTCGGCGATAACAATCGAGCAATCGGGAGCAGCCCAGCCACCCTAACGAAAGAAACATCTTCCTCCTCGTTGGACCGAAGAGAATCGATCGTGCCACTATTTTATACTCATGAATTATTCCGTCGGTCTCGCTTACACGTCTCATTCGCCTCTGCCGCTCGCGTACAAGATTATCAGCATCAAAAATTCTTACCTGAAACAGACAAAAATTCCACAGGGTTTAGTCAAGATTTTCAAGTCGGATAGAGTGTGCGTGTGCGTGTGCGTGTGCGTGTGCGTGTGCGCGTGTACAGTGTATACAATGGATACCTAGGGATGAGAATTAATGAGGAGACGATTTGGACCTCATTAGACTCTCTCCGACCATCTCGATATCAAGTACGAGCTTCAAACAGATAAAAGTCAGATGATAAAAGATTGTATCACAAGAGCCTGGTTATCTAATAAGGCAAATTATTTGAGGATTGGTACCGTGATATCTAAAATAGTCCAGAATATATTGCTCAATTAAACTCGGTATAAACTAAGCAAAAGAGCGAAATGTAAGTCTATAAGAAGCGACAAGAATATATTGGAGGAAAGTAGCAAATAAGACTAATGAGAGTGAGACAACTAAACGAGATGAGGGATAAGCGATTGCCTTTCTTTTTTTCTTTTGTTTTTTTTTTTTTTTTTTTGTATTTTGTAGTGGCATTTGATCGGACAAAGAGATGGCGAATGCTGCCTTCTCCGACTATGTGAACCCCTCTGGAATTGCTCTTAGGAGTCTGAAACCAGAGGCGAACGTAGCGCCGCTCTAATCAAACGTTCAAGCCCTCCTAATTGCCTTGGTTATTCAATTGCATCCGCAAGTGTGCCGTTTGGCTACCCTCACAATTAGTATATTTCAAATCAATTCAATTAAGTTCAAGCTGATCCGAGTTCGAGCATCTATTACTCCGATCATTCGTCTCGATCAAAATGTTCTCGAACGGTTCTACCGATTGTCAACGATCGAATGTAAAAGCCCCGAGTATCGATCAATCCATTCTCTGCTGGGTCAGATAACAGATAAGGCCCGGTGCTCTCCATTCGGCGCGCGTATCTCCGTTTCATTCCCAGGCCAAACGATTAATCAACAACCATCAGCAGCCCATTTCGCTCGATTAATCACGGCTCTCGAAATACTCGAAACACTCGAAACACCTCGATTATTTGGATTATTAACACTTTGACGGTTCATGCACTCGTCCTCTCGCCGTAGAATGACGTGCGGGACACACTGCAGCGAGTGGAGTGTCGAGCGATGGGTCCGATCAGGCAACACCGAGACGCTAATATTTAGACGCACCCCTAACTAATTATTTCATTTCATTTTGTCGGATTTGAGTCTGACCAGGATGAACGCAGAACGTCTACGGGATTGAAGCGCGGAACCTGGAATCGGGCGAAATTCACATAATTCAGAGAATTCCGTATTGGCTTGATAGCCAAGTGGCCAAGGAGAAGACGAGAAGACGAGAAGACGGGCGAAGGAGGCCGAAGGAGAGTAAAGGAGGGAGACGTAGGGCGAAAGGGGGCGAAAGGGAGCGAAATGGGTTAAGGGATGAGAGAAAGCCACGTAGCGCAAAGTGTAGCTGAAGCGACGTAAGGGCTTCTGGAACAATATCGCATTTTATAGTTGTAATCGGGGAGTATAATTATGCAAGTTTGTATGTCTGCCATCCGGGGCGCGTTCATCCCCTACTAAGAATGCCTTCGGGTGTCAGACTCCTCGCAAGCAGCTCCCCACCTCCGGCTCTACACACGCCCTCGCGTAGCCCCCCCGAGTACTCTATAGCGTCCCGTATAACCGAGGCTAACAAGATTTCGTATATGTAATTGGTCGAGTATTAAATTGCGTATTCTGCGGAAGAGCATAGCAAGTTCGAGATGTTCGAGATGTTCGAGGTGTTCGAGGTGTGCGGGACGAGGGTGGATAATGGCTGCGGGTTGGATCATTTCGTAACATACTGCACTGCCGTCACGGTTAAGTTTCCCACGGAGAGAGACTACGCTCCCTCGTTACTGCAAATTCTCATCCAGTCCTTTTCCAAGAACAAGACGATCTTCACTGGAAGCGACCACGATTATTCTTTATTCGGCCAAAGTGAACGCATCAAAGATTCAATCGAATCGTGCGCCGAAAAACCCCGAGAGTCTTCACTTGCGACACAGAAAACTGCTCTTTTCCGGAAACTTTGTATTGAGTTTTCGAGAGCCCATGAACGCCACGGACATACTACAAGCGAGAGAGGTGACTGTGCGATTGGAGGGCTGAAACGGGGATAAATGGAATGGGTTCGATACGAGAATGTGAGAGTGACGAGGAAGGAAGGAAGGAAGGAAGGGAGGAAGGAAGGAAGGGAGGAAGGAAGGAAGGGAGGAAGGAAGGAAGGAAGAAGGGTAAGTAAGGGTATCGCACGAATTAGCCCGGTTTCATCCCCAAAATACATAGAACCAACGTAGAACGAACAAGATATCAAGGCAACCACCTTAGGAGGATAATGGCCGGCGGGTCGTCGCGTCGGGAGGGCACCGAGTACCGAAACACAGCCGGGGGTGGCGGCTTTATAACGATGGGGCCCCAATCTTGTAGCTACGGCCAAAGGACTGGCCAATAAACGCTAAAATCACTAAGCTAACTACTTTGGGCCACCGAGGCTTGTCCTCATCCACATCTTCCTCCTCTTCCTCCTCTTCCTACCCTTCCCACCCTTCCTACCCTTCCCACCCTTCTAGTCCGTTCCTTATACGCGATTCTCACTACGACTCTCGGCTGCCGACATTCTCGACAAGCCTTCCCACGCATTTAATTAAGTCAAAATGCGCCAGGAGGACACGTATACTATTATACATATGTATACATAGCATATAAGACGTGCACGTATATGTATACCGTAGGCAGATAAAGAATTTGTGATTCGAGCCGAAAACAAAATAAAAGGTCCCAACATTCGGAATGATCTTGACGAATCGAATGGCGAGTGGAAAGTTCTGTTTTTCCTCGAGGTTCAAGTATTCTTGGGAAAAAAAAAATCTTCTTTCCCGATAGACGCCTCGAAACTTCCCCCAAACCGATTTCTGATCCCGAACTCTCGTCGTTCGTAAAAGTGGCCCCACTAAATAAACCTATTTATTAGCAGAGAGCTTTCCTTGTAGCTTTCATTTTTTTCCAGAGGAATATAATAGAGTGTCTACTGCATTGAGATATGAAGCTGTAGACTACTGCTTTCTCTCACAGGTCAGCTACTATATCCGTCTACACGCATTTACCAATACAGTAATTTTTCAAGGAACGTTCGAGTTTTCCCTTCAACGGTAAAAACCTGATGTTTATTAACGTGCGGGATTTCCGAGGAGTTCGAGAAGAAAGGGTGCCCAAAAGAAAAGAGTGATTCGGGCTAAGAGAGCCGCAGAGGAGGTGGTGGACTCGACGTGCCAAGTCAAGTCAAGCCAGTAGCGCACTTCGGCAACGGAAGCCAAGCAACCTCGGAGAGAACCCGCAGGCAATAGCGTGCCTTGTTTAACTAGCCTTTTAATTAGAAACGCTTAAAAATTTAGCGCACCAAATACATCCGGCCTCCTCAAAATTGTGTGCGAGAGAAAACCGACCCAGACGCGGCTCCTTTGTGTACGGCCATTGTACGCGCTCTGCCTGATATTTACCACCTAGACTAGCGTACGCGCTTTACATCCACAGGACGATTCACCCCCGACGTTAGAAGTCAATTTCGTACTAAACTTGCTCCCATCTGCTTTTTTCCACAGTTATATTCAATCCTACGTGTCGACAATACTATTTACTTTTAGCTTTCGCTGGTCCACAATAAATCGACAACTTACTAAATCGTGCCAGGATCCGAAGCATAAAATTTGAAAAAAAAAAAAAAAAAAAAAAAAAAAAAAAAAAAAAAAAAAAAAAAGAAAAAACATGAGGAGCACTTTAGTCGGGCAGAGAGTGCTCTGGGTGAATCGAGCAGTAGCAGGCTCGGTGCACATACGATTCTCGCTTTCTCCCAGAGCGTGGATTGAAAACAATATACGGCGGTTTGGGATCGCATTATTTACGTGAAATTCATTAAAAAAAAAAAAAAATAAAGTGTACAAAGCGTGTCGGAATTAACTGTTTTCCACGGAGGATATAGTATTCGCATTTAGTGGTGCGACGAAACTCGGCCCGCCACTAAGCAGACCCTTTACGCACACGTGCACTCTATAGAAAGATGGGTCAACGAAACACGAGACCATTGCAGTAGGAAGAGTAAAAAAAAGAGAGAAAGGAAGGAAAGCAAGCAAATAAAAAAGGAAAGGGGCAAGCGGCGAAGAGTAACCTATGGCTCCGCTCAGTCGGAAGGATTCGATAAGGAAATTCACAAACTGAATTTCCCAGGAATTTCAGACTGCCACTTGTCTCGTCTCTGCGTATCAATCGTTGACTAGCGGAGGCTTATTTTAAAAAACCTGCAGTTCCGGTCGTACGGCCTAATCGCAATTTCACGGTAGGCATCAAAGTACGTCCACCCGTCTCTTCCACCCCTTTCGCGCGACAGAAATCTCTCCCTTGACGATATTGGATTTATTCAAGCTTGCCGCGAAAGTTACGCCCTAAATAAAAAGGGTTGTCACTTGGGTAGGAGGTAGGTGGAAAGAAGGCAGCAGATTCATCACCCTCTTTACCCTCTTTCCCATACCATCGACCAGACCGAAGTGAGCGGCACTTTTCCGTGCAAGTTTCTCCTCGGAACTTTGGCAGCCTGGCAAAAATACCGGGACATTATTAAATATGATTATCCTGAAAGGTGGATGAGTGCGGGTGCGAAGGCAGCAGCCTGGTTGGGCCGCTGGGCCGCTGGGCCGCACTGAGCGAAGGCAAAGAGGAAACAGTGAAAAGGACCAAGGGTGGGAGGTGAGGAGGAAAGAGGAAGGAGGAAAGGGGTTAGTCACTGGACGAAAGTAAAAAGTTGAGGGTGCTGGGATGCAGCTCTCGGTGAAGGAGGGGGGGGGGATGTGTTCCGTTGAGCCGAGCTGAGCCGATCCAAGGCCCTCTCCAACTTTGATACGATTAAGACGGAACGAATTAATCTTCATCCGGGGCGAAGGCCGTCTGCTGGCAGCCACAGGGTGAGGAGGCCGGGTTAAAGAAATTTTTAAAAAAGGGGTGAGCGATTGCTGAGTACTCGAGAAAGAGAGAGGGGAGAGAGAGAGAGAGAGAGAGACCCCCTAAGCGTCAGAGCATATAAGTAGAAATTCCTATTGAAAAATAGTAATCAAACAAATGTATAAACAAGCTGCAAGGTAGAAAAAAAAGAAAAGAGAGCGAGAGAGAGACAAAGCGTGAGTACACGAGTGACTACTATATGCGTCTGCAATGTAGCTGTCCTCGAGAAAGAGGTAGATGCCATAGCAAGATTACTGCTTCTTCTTCTTCTACTTTTCCTTCTGTATGCAGAATTGCTGTTTTCAATCGTAACGTCGAAATAAGATCCAAGTTAAATGGCCACTGAGTCCACCTACTATGCACGTGCGGAAACTCTCTCTCTCTCTCTCTCTCTCTCTCCCTCTCTCTCTACTCTTCTCGGAGTACGGGGCAGGAAATGGCCCAGTCAGGTCTGGTCAGCAAGCGGTCTACCGGCCTCTTTTTAATCCCATTGTGCTAGTAACTTAATCGAGAAGCCATTATCAGGAGTTTCCTGTCCGAGGCCGAAAGCGACTGCAAGTGAGAACAGTCCGAAGCACTGGGGCCGCGGGAAGGACTGACTATTGTTTCAAACTCGCTCAAAATTAAACAGCCAAGATCGCTGACTGACTATGCGACGGTTGCGACGAGTAGGGATGGTAAGCGTGTAATTTTCCTCTGTACAAGGGAGACCGGGGAGTGTGGGAAGAGAGTAAGAGAGAGAGAGAGAGAGGAAGAGAG